GACCTTATTTTCAGAAAATTTGCCTAAGTGTTCCAACTCATGTTTTGGCATCCTCATTGCATCCTAGGCATTCCTAAGCCTTAATTAAGCTATAGTAATGAGGTTATGGATTAGAAACACACTAAGAAAAGGATGTACCAAGTTCCGAGACTGCAAGTGCGTGTGTGTTTTAGGCAATGTGATAAGAAAGAATAAGAACCAACGTAATGTAAGCTAAGCCGTGTTGGCCACTTGAATGTGTAATGATAAGACATGCTTGTGTTTATGTATTTTGTGATTGTAGGTCAAGACTCGAGGATTGATTGACCACTTACTGGAACCACTGTGAGTAACATTTCTGTAAAGATATGTTGATATGAATTATGTTCCAAATGAAATGTGATAAGCTATGATTTTTGAAATGATATATGTTTACGTGAACGAACATCCCAAGTTTGAAATCTATTATGGCATCCATAGATAGTCCCAAGTCATGGGGGACGGCATGAAAATGCGGGTCCATAACATACAAGTAATTACGAGATCTCGTTAGCCACTTCATTGTCGTGATATGTGTTTAATCGGTATCCGGAGCCGATTACTCTAATCGGAAGACGTTCTGTAATGTGTTCTATGGGATGTACCATTATTATGTTCTGATATGATAATGATTATGCTCTGATCTGTTTTCTGCTTATGATATGTTCGGATTTCGTTCACTAACCCCTTTACCTTAATATTATTCACTGAGCTTTAACTCACTGTTTGTATATATATGTATATAGGTGAACGTTCTGGAGTTCAAGCCCGAAGGCTTTTGCCTGGTGCTGTGTTTCTGTTGTTAGCCAACGATTGCGTCTCACGTGGAGGTTCCCGAAGTGTCCTATGTTCAGTCCTTTGGGTTCTGCATATGTATAAGACTTGATTTGTTGTTGTTGGCTGTACTTAAAATACTGTAATGTGTGTGGGTATAACGTATGGTTGGCTATCGGATATGTATATAAAGTTTTAATTATTCTGTTTCATATAAGTCAGCACAGTTCATTGGAAAATTATATTATGTATTTGCTTCCGCTAGCCCCCTTAATTTTGTTAATCTGTTCAGAGCCCTTCGGTAATCCAAGGATTACTGGCCGGTTACGATGCTAAACCTATAGGGGCGAGTTTGGGTCGTGACATGTTAACATTCACATTGATTGAAGTGTAAAATTGGCCTGCGGCCCGTAGGCGGCCTGAAACCCGCTCGCGGCCCATGGGCTACCCGGGGCAAGCCCGGCCCGGTCCGTTGACAATGTGAATATTCACATTAACATATTAACATTCACGTTGATAGAAGTGTAAAATTGACCCGCAGCCTGTAGGCAACCCGAAACCCGCCTGCGGGCCGGGCCTGACCCGTTTACAATGTGAATATTTACATTGACATGTTAACATTCACATTGATAGGAGTGTAAAATTGGCCCGCGGCTCGTAGGCGGCCCAAAACCCGCCCGCGGGCCCTGCCTGGCCTGTTTACAATGTGCATATTCACATTGACATATTAACATTCACATTGATAGTAGTATAAAATTGGCCCGCGGCCCGTGGGCGGCCCGAAGCCCGCCCGTTGCCCGGGGCAGGGCGGGCTGTAAATATTCATATTTTAACATTCACATTGGTAAGAATGTAAAATTGACCCGTGGCCCGTGGGCGGTCCGAAGCTCCCCCCTAGGCCGGGGCGGACTCGGTCTGTTGACAATGTAAATATTCACATTGACATGTTAACATTCACATTGATAGAAATGTAAAATTGGCTTGCGGCCCGTGGGCGGCTCGAAACCCGCCCGCGGCTCGTGGGCTGCTCGGGGCGGGCCCGACCCATTGACAATGTGAATATTCACATTAACATATTAACATTCACGTTGATAGGAGTGTAAAATTGACCCGCGGCCCGTAGGTGGCCCGAAACCCGCGGGCTCGGCCCATTTATAATGTGAATATTCACATTGACATGTTAACATTAACATTGATAGGAATGTAAAATTGGCCCGCAGCCCGGAACAGGTTCGACTTGTTGACAATGTGAATATTCACATTGACATGTTACTATTCACATTGACAGGAGTGTAAAATTGGCCTGCGGCCCGGGGCAAGCTCGTTTGGGCCCGAGAACTTGGGCTAGGACCTGGGCCATTACTTTGAAACTCGGCTGGCATAAGGCCCATTTAAGGCTCGACCCGCTAAAGGCCCGGTGTCTTTTTTCTGGAAAATAATAAAATTTTGCGAGAAAAAATTAAAAAGAATTAAAAAAAATGGCGAGGCTCACCCAAGTCCGACCCAAGCGCAAGTGTAGGCCCAAGCCCCTTGGCTTGACCCACCGGGGCACCCAAAGCCTGAATACCTTTGTGCCAAGGCTAGGGCCTAGGCCTAATTTTTTGGCCCGTCCCGGCCTGAATTTTGGCAAGCACCCACGAGGCTTTACATGGGTTGGCCTCGGCCTGGGCTGGGCCGAGCCCCTACACATTAATGATATAAATATTCACATTAGGGGTATTTTGGTAATTATGTCACCCATAAGATGTAAACATTCACATTAGGGGTATTTTGGTAATTATGTCACCCATAGGACTTATTGAAATATAAGAAAATAATTTGGACTAAATGGAACATAAGTAGATGAAAATGGTATTTTGATCTTCTTACCTCAAATAGGAACATTCACATTGATGGTGTGAACATTCACATTGACGGTGTGAACATTCACATTGATAGTGTGAACATTCACATTAGGGATATTTTGGTAATTATGTCACCCATAGGACTTATTGAAACATAAGAAAATAATGTGGACTAAATGGAACATAAGTAGATAAAAAGGATATTTTGGTCTTCTTACCTCAAATAGGAACATTCACATTGACGGTGTGAACATTCACATTAGGGATATTTTGATAATTATGTCACCCATAGGATTTATTGAAACATAAGAAAATAATGTGGACTAAAAGTAGATGAAAAGAGTATTTTGGTCTTCTTACCTCAAATAGGCCTAATGAAATAGTCAAAAAGAATATGGATTGGATGAAATAAAACTCTTAGAAAAAAAATTTATCAAAAAAGCTCCCAATACAAAAATATAAAAACTATTATAAAAGCTAATAATTAGAAAAAAAATTATAATTAAAAAAAAAAAGAGGAAAATTTACCACTTGCAACTCTACTAGTAAAAATAAAAGCATTAGTGAGAAGAAAATCGAAAAAAGGCAGACTTATGCAAAAAAAGCTCTAAATAAATTGTACTTCAGACATATCAAAATAAACTATCTTATCATTTTATATTGTACCTCTTATTAGTCATCATTACACTCCACCTTCTCTATACCAAATCAAAAAATGAAAAAAATAAATACTATCATAAAATTAATTGTTAAATATGAAAGAAAAATTAAATTTTTTACATTATCCAAATAGAAGCTCTCATAATTGTACACTTCTATTGGTGAAAATAAAAAGCATCAGTGTGAACATTCACATTAGGGATATTTTGATAATTATGTCACCCATAGGATTTATTGAAACATAAGAAAATAATGTGGACTAAAAGTAGATGAAAAGAGTATTTTGGTCTTCTTACCTCAAATAGGCCTAATGAAATAGTCAAAAAGAATATGGATTGGATGAAATAAAACTCTTAGAAAAAAAATTTATCAAAAAAGCTCCCAATACAAAAATATAAAAACTATTATAAAAGCTAATAATTAGAAAAAAAATTATAATTAAAAAAAAAAAGAGGAAAATTTACCACTTGCAACTCTACTAGTAAAAATAAAAGCATTAGTGAGAAGAAAATCGAAAAAAGGCAGACTTATGCAAAAAAAGCTCTAAATAAATTGTACTTCAGACATATCAAAATAAACTATCTTATCATTTTATATTGTACCTCTTATTAGTCATCATTACACTCCACCTTCTCTATACCAAATCAAAAAATGAAAAAAATAAATACTATCATAAAATTAATTGTTAAATATGAAAGAAAAATTAAATTTTTTACATTATCCAAATAGAAGCTCTCATAATTGTACACTTCTATTGGTGAAAATAAAAAGCATCATCATTATATATCACAGTAAAAATAAAAATGGGAAATTATTTGTCAATGTATAACTAAAAAAATATTTTCACATCAATGGTATTCTTTATAAATATTAATATTTAAAGTCAAAATTTTCCGTAATCTTATAACTAAGTTGTGAAAACATGACCGACAAGTAATTTCCCTAAATCAAAACCCACTATCAGCTAGAGATATATTAAAAAAGAATAATAACAGAACAAATCACAAAAAACTTGCAATACATAATTTTGTGATTAATTATACGTATATTGTATTAGAAATAGTCAATTCTAAACATATAAATTGTACTTTTTTCTATACAAGTTATGTTAGCATACCTTTAAAAAGAAAATAATGATTAGTAGTCTTACACCCTAAACAAGTGAGAGAGAGAGAATTTAAATAAAAAATATTTTAAAAATTTGTAAAGGTATTACTTAGGGTTGTTTTAGGAAGTTGGCTAAAAACTGATTTTTTTGATTTTTTTTTTTTGAAAAAATGTGTAAAAAGATAGAGAGATAATATGACTCAAAATAGGTTAAAAGCTAAAAATTAACTTTTAACCAAGTTCCCAAATTAGGCCTTAAATAAAAGTAAGACTCAGGCCATGTTTGGTTAAATAAATAAAAAAAAATTAAAAATATCCAATTTTATTTTATTTTTGTACGACTTTTCGTAAAAAAAAATAAAACGAAAAATTTCTAATTAGTATAAATTTTAAAAATAATTACAGAAAAATGATAAATTTTACAAATATTAATAATTAAAGTTACAAACTTTTTCATGAATGTGTAATAATTTTATGAAAATACCATTTAAGTAATTTTCCCAAAATAAAACAACCACTAAAAACAATTTCCAAAGCCTCATTATAAATCTGGTGGGTTTAAGACAACCGGAGCTCAGGTGGAATCACACCAATATCCAATTAGAGCACAAGTCATACTTCAGCCAAAATTTCAATCATGAAAACAAACGGTGGGGATAGTAAGAGAAGGATGATGATCTTACGAGGTAATAATCTGGGCCAGGAGATGGACAATCTAAAAGCATCCAATCCATTGTACTTCATCAGATGCACGTCTTCCTGTTAAAGTTTTCAGTTTTATTTTTTATTAATTAAAAACTAAAACAAAATTGAGTTTTCAGAGCAATGAACTACATTCACACAATAAATTAAAAACAAAAATAAAAAATTACTATTAACAGAGTATATTATTTGTTTGGCATTGGCTTTTAAAACCGACATGTTTTGACCCATTTTCGCCCTATTTGTATTTTTTTATTTAAAATTATATCATTTTTCGCAGGGTTTTTTTTTTTTTTTACCATTTTTTAGCATCTGTTAATCTAAAAGAAAAAAAGTTTGAAGAAATTGAATTTTAATTTAATAAAAAAGAAAAATAACAAATCAATGGATTTTTGAGAAAAAAAAATCAGATTAATGATAAATTTTAATAATTAAATTTATAATTTTTTTCATTATTCTGTAGTTATTTTAGAAAAATATAACTGATTTGTAATTTTTCTAAAAAAAAAAAAGAAAACTTATAAAAACAAACGGAGCAGGGCGGGGACCAAAAAGCAAGCAAACCAACGCACAACAAAACAAAAAATCCATTGTCAAAAACAATTTTTCGTACAATTTGGGAAAAGAAAAAAAGAGAGAAAGATAAATTACACTCTGTCTTATTTATGTTTGACCATTTTCTCATGTTGGCCTCTAAATTTTATTTCTTCTTAGTTTCGCCTTTCAAGTTTTAAATTTTTTTCTCAATTTACTCCGAAAACTAATTTATATTAAAAATTAGATAAAAAATGATACATTAACAGTTACATGATATAAAAATATTTTATTATATATAACTCACACATATGACATAAACTCAAACCCAATATAATAATATATTTGTTTATCATACGTGACAACTATTGTAACATTTTATATTTAATTTTGAACAGAATTTAGCTTTAGGAATAAATTGAAAAAAATTTGAAACATGAAATATCAAAGTAAGAAAAACTAAACTTCAAAGGTCAAAGTAAAGAAGTGATCAAATATAAAAGAGGCAAAATGTACTTTAATCCCCCTAAAAAATGCACACATTTATTAGTTTCTATGTTTTGTTGAGTTTTCAAATTTTATTTTTTAAAATTATAAATTAGTTTCATAAAAAACAAATGTTAAAAAAGATTTTTTAATTCTCAAAAATTATTTACCCTAAAATAAAAATAAAAAATAAAAAAAGAAATCATATGAAATTAATAGGATACTTAGGCCAAAGATCCATTTCTAAAATTTTTGGACTAACATGCTCGAGCTCTATTCTTTTGGGACCGAAAAAACAATTATAATTTGAAATATTATTTTATCCTTGTCTATCTATTCACTACTCTATTTGTGCACGTCACCTACTATTTGTCCATGTATACTTATTTGTCTATTTAATCTACATATTTGTCCATATATCATCACCATCACCATTGTCGTTACTAACCGCTGCTGGTGAATTTTCTAGTAAATTTCTGGTGCAAGCAAATTTCCCAATAGGCGGTGGGTTGTGGCCCGATAGTGGAAGTACAATTGGAAAAAAAAAAAAATCAAAAAAATCATTTGTGTTTCTTACCAAACAATTTTATTAAACAATTTTTTTTTTTCTTTTTGTTCACCAATTTTTTAAAAAAAAATTATTCAAAAAAATAAATTTTGAAAACTTAGCCAAAAAAATTAATTTTTGGATTTTGAAAACTCAAGTAGTATGCAAATGCACACATAAGTAATACATTTTGACACCCAAAAAAGAAAAAGAAAAGTAATTTGTGAATAATGACTGAATCATGACTAAAGGGCAATTTTAGTAAAAATATGTTGCCAAATTATTTAATTTTTCAGGCCTGTCCATGTATCAAATATAAATTCTTATTCCCCCCCCCCCCTACACACACAAAACATAATAATAATAATAATAAATAAATAAATAAAAATCCTAGAGTTTAACTTTTATGACAAAATAAATCTTGAGTTTTTAATTTTATTAATATAAAATCATTTCGAATCTAAACATTTATTTATTTTCATTAAGTAAAATCGATGAAAAAAATACTTATTAAATTCAACAAAAAAATAATATTTTAAACATTTTATGTATACTTACATTGAATTTAATGGCTAAAATATTCTTTTTCTGTCACTTTTACATGACATAAATATGCGAATCATTTAAATTAAAAATAAATCAAAATATTAAAAATTAAATTTAATAAAATTAAAAAAAATTACAATAATTATACACCAAATTTTTTTCGTACTTTCTACAAATTTGTATTAAAAAATAGCATTTTGTACCTTATAACGGTGATAAAAATCTACGGCCATATCACCATTGCTGCCATCCAATATTTTACCTGCAACATCATCATAATGGGATACAAAAATAATATGTTAGGCCATGTTTGCTTGCCTTAGGTTAATTATGAGTACGTAAATTGAGTAATTGAATTGTTATTGTCGTGATATTAAATTAAAGAGGTTAAATAAATTTTATTTGTATATAAGCGTAATGATATTAGTTGATTATCATTAAATTTATAAAATTCCATCATCATAATGGGATACAAAAATAATATGTTAGGCCATGTTTACTTGCCTTAGGTTAATTATGAGTACGTAAATTGAGTAATTGAATTGTTATTGTAGTGATATTACATTAAAGAGGTTAAATAAATTTTATTTGTGTAGAAGCGTAATGATATTAGTTGATTATCATTAAATTTATAAAATTCCCCCATATAAAAAGTGACATTATTTTGATAAAATGAGTGTTAAAATTCTCTTTTTATCTCCAAAATCTCATAAGTTAATTTGATGACCTTTTTTCTTAACTAAATATAATTGAGAAAATTACAAATCAAGTCAATTTTTCAAAAATAATTACATACAGTTTTATGATTTTTATAATTAAAGTTTATAAACTTTATCATTAATCTGAATTTTTTTTTTCAACATTTAACTAATTTGTTATTTTCCCAATATAATTTATCTGATTGCCCACATTATTGTCGATCCAATTCCATAGCCAATGAATTAAAACAAACATGTCCTTATGCTTCTCATGGAATTTTTCTCATGCCAGTTTTTTGGGGGGAATTATCCATCAGTTGTAGTCAGAACAATTATTTACAAAAAATATGGTAAACATTATAAATTTTAATAATTATAATTATAAAGTTTTTATGAATGTGTAATAGTTTTCTAAAACCCCACCTGGATTGTAATTTCATTTTTTCTTTTATAATTGAGAAAATAACAATCCAGTGATAACTTTGAAAATTAATTAGTGATAAAATTTAGGGTAAATTACAATATGTCCCTTTTATGTTGGCCACTTTTTCACTTTGACCTTTCCAGTTTATTTTTTTCCACTTTGACCGTTTATGTTTCAAATTTTTCTTATTTTACTTTTAAAGCTAATTTCTGTTAAAAATTAGACAAAATGACACATTATTAGTTGCATGACATAAAAATATTTTATTATATGATTCACACCTCTAGTATAAACTTAAATTTTAATATAATAATATATTTTTTATATTATGTGACAGTTATTGTGGTATTTTCTATTTAATTTTGAAAAGAAATTAATTTTAGGAGCAAAGTGGAAAAATTTGAAATATCAAAGGTCAAAGTGAAAAAAAAAATTTGAAGGCCAAAATGCAAAAGCGTCCAAATATAAAGGAAGTAAAATATATTTATAAATATTAATAATTTAATTCTTAATTTGTTTCATGCATTTGTAATATTTTTGTGAGACCACACCATCCCCGTAATTTTCCTTTTATAAATGTGACCCCAATGTGGGATGGGGATGCTGCTGCTGTGCTCAAAGCACAACAGCCCCCGCTGCGCAGCTTTACATGCCATTTTGGGCCAACGAAGTTTTGATTTACTTCTTGACTGTATTATTAAAAAAAAATAAAAATTATCCCATTATTTTTTATTTTTCAATAGTATTTTAAGACATTCCTTTACGTTTTCACTTTTATATGTTATGCTCTCTTTTTTAATAAATATTTTGTAAAATTTAGCCAAAGTTATGATAATTTGTAATTTAAAAATAAAATTAGTATTTTGTTATAATGTTGTATATTTTTTGTTTTTTATTTGGAAACTCATTTATAGATCGCATAAAATAATATTACTTTCTTTATTTCAAAACTCATTTAACTTGAAACAATTCTTTGAAATAGATTGATGAATTTCACTCACAATTAGATTTTGATCTATTAATTTTATAATATTAGAACAACAAAAAAAATCCATTGATGCTATAATATTATAAAAAAAAATTTCAATTTATTCCAAAAAATAATAAACCAAATAAATAAAATTATTTTATTTAAAATTATATAATCACGGTATATGTTGCAAATTAAAATATATATATATATATATGTATAATTATAATAACACAAAATAATAGAAGCCAAACTAATGAATGAAATTGAGGAAAATATAAGGAGGATATTTTGGTCTTTATGTTAAAAAAAAAAAAGAAAAAAAAAAATCTGTAGTTTTTGAATAATGTTTAATACACCAATTGATATATCAATTCGTATAATAGGTGAGGTCATAATTTTAAAATAACAATGCCATAATATCTATTGATACATTAATTCGTATATCAATTGATGCATATAACATTATCGTTAATTTTTATAATATTTATTACCTTTTTATAATTTATTTTTTCTGACACCACTGATATGTAGTTTCTCTTAAAACTAAATTTATTTCTCTACTATCTAATTAAAATATAAATTTGGAACAAAAATTCTTAAAATATTTCTTTTATTGGTTTAACTTCTTTTATCGTATTTGAAATATTTTCCGAATTGATTGCGCAAATTTTCATGAATTCAAATACATATCACGTGAAGAGTGAAATGGTAAAGATGATTTACGGGGTGGTAGCCAAAAGGTCATTTCCAATAAATTTTTCAATTGTACCATAGGAAATGTTTGGTAGTCACAAATTTTGTGATTTAAATAGTTTGAAAATGTCAAAATGACGTCGTTTTGACATTTTTAGAGTTGTTTTGTACTCAAAAAGACGTCGTTTTAGTATTTTCGAACCATTTAAACTACAAAATTTGTGGCCACCAATCATTGCCCTTGTACCATTACTGCAAATCTATTTTCTCCGAGTTCAGATTCTCTACTCTCTCTTTCTTTGCCTTTTTATTTGTAATGATCGAAATACATTTAAGATAATTTAGGCTTCGTTTGGGTAGCCATGGTTTGGGTTTTTTTGGCTATTTTAGCCACAAAAAACAAAATAGGCTATTTTAGCCATAACAAACAAAACATCACATCCAACCTATAATCATTACATTCTTCTTTCACAAAAAAATTCAAAAAAGCCAAAAAGCCCTTCCTAAACCAAGCTTTTAAGCCCAGGCTAAAATAGTCAAAAAAGTCAAAAAGCCAACTCACTTCCCAAACGGAGGCTTAACGATTCAGATCTAATTATTTTTAAAAATTAATTTAAAACAACTTTTTTAAAAATAATTAGATGTAGAGCGTTAAATCATTTTGAAGTGTATCCCAACTGTTACAAATTAAAAAAAGTAAGGGGAGGGAGTAGGCAGAGTATGCCTTCCTCCATGTAAAATCGCATCAAATGTGGGCCATCATACAATGATGGATATGGTTCCTTTCCCACATACACATACGGCCAACGCGCCAGACATCTCTTTTATCAATAATTGAAACAGCTTATGCGGCCTATTGGTGCATCTTTACTCTTTTTTAAAAGTGAAAGTTCGTTTTTGTTCTTTCTTTTCTTTTATCAAAAAAAAAAATTAATAGTTAGTGATTAAATTATCAAGTCAAGACCTCTTCTTCTAAAAAGACTTGGTGGTTAAGAGATTAATCAAAAGTGAAAGTTAATTATTAAAATGTAAAATTTCAAAAAGATTTTCTTCCTTTTAAAAGGGTAATACTTTTATGAATAGACTTATATGAATATGTATTTACTTTACGCATATTTGTAAGATCACTTATATAATTTTGTAATAGAATTGCACATGGTATGCATTGCTTTATTTTTAAATTATTTAAAATTAGGATAAAGTACAAATACACTTTTAAAAATTTATAAATATAAATTGTTCTCTATAATTTTGAAAATTACATTTCATGTTTTAAAGTTTTAATCGCATAATAAATGATTAATTTTATTAATAAATTATCAAATCAATTAATAATTTTTAATTATATTAATATATTTTAATTACCAATTCAAGTAACTTTATTTTTGTGTAGGAGTATAGTTAAGATTTTTTTTGGTTAATCATGTTAAATAAAAATTTGACAATGAAATATTTATAATTTTCAAAATCACAATAAATAATTCATATTTTAAATAAATTTTAAAAATGTATAACTTACCCTTTACATGACTAAAAATTATACTAAACAAGAAATAAACTCTCAAAATTCAACAAAATAATAATATACATATACATACATATATATATATATATATATAGACAACTTATAATAAATAAGCAAATAAGTGCACTTATTTGGTACATTGTCAAACATATATATATATATATATATATATATATAGTTTTATAAACTACGTCAGACAACACCTATATCAATCAACCAAAAATGATATTAGATGACAACTCGTGTCCCCCACTGATTCAATTACTTAATTCACAACCACAATTTATAAACTCTGTATTAATTAGATAGTGATATTGTCAAGTCAAGAGGTACTCAATATTTAACCTTATTTTAAAAAGTGTGTTATAAATTGATTTTATAATTTTTTTTAGTTTTTTTTAAAAGAATGTATAAAAAAATAGAGAGATGATGTGATCCAAAAAAATTTTAAAAATCAAAAAATTAACTTTTAACCAGTTTGTCGAAATGGGCCTTAAAGTGAGTTTGAGGTTTGCTTTTTATTTATCTTTTAGTTTTTCAATTTTTAAAAAATTAGAAAATTTATATTTTTGTAAATAAAAAAAAATTATGTGACATTTAATTTTTTTTAATCAACGAAACACAAAAGGAAGTTGAACAAATTCAATCTCTGTTTAGTTGAGTGCTCAGGATATGTTTCTGAGCAATTTTAGAATAATCATAAGTTAGTGTGACAAAAATAAATACTCCAAAATTTTTAATTTTTTTTAGGTTTTTTTTTTTTTTTGAAAAAATTCAATTCATTTACTTTTGCAAAAAAAAAAAAAAAAACAAAAAAAATGAATGTTGAGAGAGAGAGAGAGAGAGAGAGAGAGACCTGAAAATTTGTGAACGAAGGTGTCCCATATACTTGGGCCTTTTCCTCCTTCTTTAGCTGCTCCTTCGTACTGCAGTTCATAAACACTCCTTACATTAAATTTTATTTTGGTGTTCTTCGTTTTCCAATCTTAACAGCTAATTATGTTTTTTTTAAATATATAGATATATATATTTTTTTGTCAAGTTGCAATTTTCTATATTTTTTCACAATATTTTATGTGTTTATTGTATTTTATAACTTTTTCATGGAAGGAGTGGTCGGTGATGGTAAGTTTAACTATAGTTAAGAACAGAGAAAATATTAAAGCACAAAATTAAGACGGGGGAGTCCAAAATTTAGGAACCTGGTAGGCAGCTGCGGATGCTCCGAACACGAAACCAGTTGGGAAGCTGCTTCGATTAAACGACGTCGAGTCGGTGGTGCTCTCTGTCACAATCTCTGTTTGACCTAACAATAATGAGTTGATCATCACTACCATTAATAGCCATACCTTGAGATAGCTTCCAATTGCCATGACTAAACTATGCTTTGTTTGTCCTTCTCTTTTTCTCTCTCACCCCTTTTAATGTAGAATGCGAAACACAAATATAAAATAAAGGAAAATGCTAGAGGTCCTAAATTTTCTACCAAATAAATGATCAAATGTCTCACATGGGTGTGGAGCCCACAAAATTGCGGACCCCATACCCATGTGAGACATTTGGTCATTTGTTTGGTAGAAAATTTAGTATCCCTAGCATTACTCTAAAATAAAAGGTCCAATTATACTAACGTTACTGTAATTTGGGCTTTTACTGTGCTCATGACTTTTTAATTGTGATATATTTAATTTTAAATTTTAAATTTTAAATTTTATTTTAAATAAAGATAATTAAAGATATTATTACTTTATTTCAAGAATAATAGTCTAATTTCATAGAATAATTCCTCAAAACAAACACATTCTAAGATTTAGCTCCAATCTTTAAGAGTGTGTTTGTTTTGAGGGATTATTCCGTGAGACTAATAGTCCATTGTTTGATTCAATTTTTTTATTCTGAATTAATAAGTCCTCCAGACTATTAGTCCTTCATATGAGGAATTATTGTATCCTAGGGAGGGAGTGAGATTATTTCCATGGAATTGGTATCCCATGGGACTATTTTATAAAATGTCCATTTTACTCTCATGCTATTACTTAATAAATAATTGAAAAATGGTAAAATAGTCTTTTGAGCATTGATAAATTATTTTTTTAGTGTTGTTAATTTAAAATTATAAATTAAATAAAAATAAAAATTATAAATTATATATTTAATTTAATTAAAAATAATAAATTAAAAATTATGGCCTTATAATTTTTTTAGTGTTGATAAAAAATTAAATTTACATATTAAATAATTTTTTTTAGTATTGTTAATTTAAAATTATATATTAAATAAAAAATATAAATTATAAATTAAATTTATTTAAAAATAATAAATAATAAATTATAAATTATGGCCTTATAAATTAAATTTTTTTAGTGTTGTTGAAAATTTAATTTATATATTAAATAAAATTATTTTTTTATTGTCGTTATTTAAAATTATATATTAAATAAAAATATAAAATATAAATTTAATTTAATTGAAAATAATAAATTAAAAATTATGGCCTTTATAAATTATAATGGTAAAATAGTTTTTTGAATATTTATCCTTATCCAGTCTGTCCAACCAAACATTGGATTCACTAAAAATAGTTCGATCTAGACATCTAATCCCATGACTAAACAAACAAAGGATACAGATCCAGTCCAACCAAATAGTCCGGGGACAATGTATCTCAAGACTAACAGTCCGATGGATTACAATCTCCCCTTATCCAGTCTGTCCAAACAAACACACCCTAAGAGTTTGAAGAGACTTCTTACACCAAATCGAAGAGTGCGATGAGGGCTACGTTTATAACCGATTGGATCGTGTTTTCACCAACGTTGATTTCTAAGGTTTTCTTTTTCTTCATCTCCAAAGCTTGAGGTAAGGATAATTTTGAGTTATATATATATATATATATATATTTGCAAGTTTATACATGTTTTGAGTATTTTATCATATTTTGAGTTATGATTTTGGGTTGTTAAACCTAGATGATGTTTGGAGTTAATTTCATCTATTTTTCTCAAAACTCTTGAGAATATGAGTATGTTATAAGGTGTGGGTCTTGTTTTGGAAAAAAAAAATTCAAAAATGGAACAAAAACCTTATTTTAATAAAAACCTTAGAATTTGGAGATTTTGAAAAAAAGTTGTGAGATTGGCAAATTGATGCTTGATAATTTACCATGTGAGTAAATGATAAAGGAAATTCTATAATTGTATCAAATGAAGAGTTTTCATGAGAAAATGAGAAATTGTAGAATTTGAAAAACTTGAACTTCTTGTTGTTTTTGTGGAAGGACAAATGCTAAAAATGATGTTCAACATGTGGAGAATTCATGAATGTTGTTATTGTTATATTGTCTCTTTAACAAATATAATATAAAGTTATATTGATAAGAGATGTGGAATTTGATCACAATGGAGGATTGTGTGGATGAACTGAGAAATTTCAAGGCATTGATATAGAAATGTATAGCATTGACATTGTTGAGATGTTTAAATAGAACCTTATTGTTGCATTGGGCATTTGCATAGTCATTCCATTTTGTCATTGATACAATTGATTTCGAATATTGTATTAGAAAAAATGTATTGTTTTCAGGAAGAAAATTGTTTTGTGAAACAAGATCATATTGATTTGTTTTTAGGATAAACACATTGGTAAGTCCAAATAAGGGGTATAGTTGGTATTGGTTAAGTTGGCTTGACTGTCCATGGTAAAAGACCAAAAACACACGTGAAGGAGGTACCACGTGTCTTCTGATTAGCAACCAATGACGTAGGGATTCGGTAGTGCTTGTTATGCCTACTTGCAAACACCAACCTAGGGATTACTTGAGTCGTATTTACCTCCCCCTTTGAACTACATTGAAATTATTGAAAGTTTTTTAACATGGCATGCCATATGCATTCATCCCATGAAATTGTATAAAATGTATATACTTTGTGAAGATTTTCCTACTGGGGCTTTGTACTCACTCCTATGGGATTTTGTACAAGAAATGATGTGGTGATTCCGTCGAATTAGAGGTGTTGGATATGTTTTGAGAGCACAAGGCTTTTTTTTTTTTTTTTTTGTAATTATTTTTGACAAGCCAAGGGCTTTATGTGTATAGGTTTGAAACCACTTTTGTGTAACTGGGATTAAGCCTTAGAATTTGTAACCCTTGACGGTATTAATTCGTACTAAACTTTCTTGCTACATGTTATAAATTCATATTTTAATAATGTTGAATATATATAACCGCATATGGGGCATTTTTTTGTAAATCTCTTGATGGTTAATGAATTACAAATGTTGGAGATTTGAATATGATGTTAATATTGTGATTTACTTACGTTTACATTAAACAATGGAAGTTAGTGAATCCTTATTGTATAAATTTTCAAGACGTGACATTTAGTATGTGTTTGGATAATGATCATGCAATGAGTGATTATTTTTGATGATATTTTTGGATGGTTATCATGTGATAGATGATTGTACTTGTTGTTAACCAATATTTTTAGATGATTATCATCTAATGCATGATTATTAGGCTTTGTAACACCCCAAATTGTTAACATATTATAACGCAAATGAACTCATCAATAATCATCAATCCTCATTAATCATGAATCATTTACAATTAAAGAATCATATAATTTCCAATCAAGCTTTTCATACATGTATATTTATGACATTTATTCAAGAGATGTAAGGGTTCCACACGCCATTATGCTTTTATAATTTCTAAGACAATATTTGGCAGCATGTAACGAGAATTCAATAAAAATTAAAATACAAAATAATGCCCCCATAGGCTATATGTTTCGAGACTTAAGCCTAGTTATAGGTAAATGGCTTTCTAACCTATACAAATATAGCCATTGGCTTATCAACATAACAACAACAAGACATAAGAGCCTCGTGCTCCCAAAACAATTCTCCATGCCTATACTTTGGTAGTATCACAACAGCTTTTTTTGCAACAAATCCACTAGGTGGCACAAAACCTAGTAGAGAATTTTTAACAAAGTATATATGCTTTATACAGTCTCATGAGATGGATACACATGTCATGCCATGCTCAAAATAGTTTTTCTCTTCTGAAAATCTCATGTGCAATGCTCATTCAAAAATATAACCAATCCAATGATTATCATATATCAACAATGGATAGTAAATACGACTCAGGAAAATCCCCAGGATTAGTGTCTGCAAGTAGGCGTATCAAGCATTACCAAATCCTACCTTACCAGCTACTAACTGTAGGGCTTAGGCACTTACATGTACATGTTTCTGGTCTTACACCAAGGATACTCGGGCCAACTTAATTCTCAAACTACACCCCCTATTCGAATTTCCCACCGTATTTACCCAAAAACAATTCAATAACAATATTTGTTCCATAAAATCATTTCTGTTTAAAAAGTGATCTTAACAATACCAGTTCAAAAGAAAACAATGAACATGAAATGAAATGCCAATGTGATATATATCTATATTAATGCCTTGGACTTTCTCCAATTTTCTCATTTCATCCATATAATATTCTATTGTCATCAAGTTCCACAGATCTACTCAATATACATGTATATAATATATATTCCAAGAGATAGACAAAAACACATTGCAGCTTGCTTTTCGTGCTTCTTTCGGATACGATTAGCCCTACAGTTCGGACTCCCGTGGTTTTGAATCTAATTTCACAAGTGTAATGTGAAATAGAGAAACATAAATGAGTCCAAATCCAACAAATTTTTTGAAAAATCGATATTTGAATCAAATGCCAAAAATGGACTGTTTTGCCAGATTACAGAGTCGCAACTAAATATTTTTGGAAAATTTAGAAAGCCCAAAACTCATGCCAAAGGCTACTCATCATCACCAACGTGTCTCGGCTCGTGAACTTAGGTACGAAAGGGGAAGGTCATGAATTGAGCACCCCCTCGCCGATCAAAGATCGGCCTCTATTAATCATGATGTGATTTTTATTTACATTATATGCTCATGTTCTGATTTATTAGGCTAACTTTACTAGGTGATGCACGCAAGTAAAGACTAATTTGCAAAAGTTGGAGCATTTGATTTCATGTTTGTTTTGAAAAAAAGTGTTTTGAATATGCACCACTTAAAAAAGTGATTTCATATGTACATTACTCAAATTATTCCAATTCAAGCAATTAGCCATCATCTACAAGCATTTAAATAAGTATATCACTTAAGCACTTAGCCTCATGGAATCATGCTTGATATGGAAACACAAACATATAATGCAATATGCTAAAGCAATAAGTGCTCACCTAGTACTCCAAAGGCAAGCCAAACAAAGCAAAATAATTAGAAAACATACATGCTCCTAACTTATGCAAAATGACTAATGTGACACAAACAATCATGCAAGAAAATAGGCTCAGCTACTAGCATGGTATATGATTCCATTCAAGACAAGTGATAAATCACGTATTCATTTAAGA